GAGACGGCGCTGCAGCACCGCCTTCTGGCGCTGGATGCGGATGTACTTGGGCCATCTCACGAAACGGGACAGGTCACGTGTCGGCTGGATATCCTGACCTGACAGTCTCAATTATTGTATTGATGCATATGAAGAACTATCTTAATGTTGAGTTTCGAGTGTATTTTAAAGTTTTAGACACAATAGGACCATTATCAGTGTTAAAAAGCTCGTATATTTTATATACATCATGGTTTTCAGATATACATTTACATCATTTATATGGTATGTAATTTGAAGTCGGTTAAAAATTTATTGTTGATGTAAGGGTTTTCTAACTCACCGATAGCAAAGTTCTTTGTCCTCTTCTCGAAAAGAGGGTTCACAATCTTCTTGGGTTCAACTTTCTTGACAACCAATGGGGCTGCCGCAACTTTCTTTCCTACCTTCTTCTTAGGCTGAAATTAAACGATGAATGTATTATAAACACATGGCAAATTACTATTTGCTAATAATAATTCGTTATTATCAATCAGTAATACTTTTGAAACTAATATTCATAATGCAAACACCATGCTCTTGTCTGAGGTTATGTTTTTTAAACACGAGAAAAACTTTTTTCGCACATTACAAAACTCTTTACATCCAACAAATTAAAAAACAAATAGTAACATTCCACACTAATTGCCCATTAACTATTTACACACTTGTTTGCATCGCACAAAAACAAGAAACGTTTCAAACACATAACACAAAGTTGTAGTCAATACATAAAGTTTGCAACTTTCGGCAATAAAATATAGTAATTTACTAAACGCACATGGTTTTTACCTTCTTCTGCACCATCTTGATTGAACTTTAAATTAGTGATCTAAGGGGCACGAAAAGATTCGTGACCCAAACAGAACACAAGACTTTCGGCAAAAATGGCCGATGTTAAAAGATCGAGGAAGAGCGAAACAGAAACGTCAGTGCTATGCACAGATAAAAAATGACAGCTTTACAGATTATGCGCTATTTGTTTATGGTTTTAATAAAACCTTAAATATTTTATTAAATTCTTTTGTTATTTTGTGATATCAAAATAATAGAATTTTAGTAAAAAGTTAATTAAATGAAATGCTGCATTTTCCTTAAAATATTCATAAACAAAAATTACGTAATCGTTCTGGTCAAAAAGTAAATTTCAAATTCGCGATTTTGCTTAAACGGTTTTTTTTTTAATTTTACGAAGTTTATTTATGTTAAGTTTTTTAAATCAAGGGTGGAATAACTTGTCTGATTTAAAAGATACCAATAATGTTTAGAAATTTAAAACCGTCCAAGAGACAATTCGCATGTTACATGTTAATACTTAGTATGGTTTGAACGAACAGTTAATTTATTAACTATGTAGCTCTTAAAAACTGTACGTTATTGAGCGTAGTGTTGCGGGAAATATGAATGTACATCGTAAAGGCCAATTGAAATGTAATGTGTTTTTTATTGAGTACATAAGACTGGATGAAATTGAAAACAGGCTATAAAAATTATATTTCAAATAAAGAAAATGGTTTGTAAAACGATTATATTTGTTGTCTTAGGTAAGCTTAACATAGTAAAGTACTTTTATTGGTTAAAATTCGGAAATAATGTGCATAAATTCTGATTTTCGGAATTACCGCGCTAGGTACGCACTTCTTATGTGTATATTTGTAACATGTTTATACCATTTTTATAAGGTTTCAACGTCTATCACGTCAAATATTCAGTCTACATTAAACTATAAATTTTATTTACGTGCTTGTTAATTCATAAACCGTTTTTTAGCCCTAACAAAATGTTCAATGCCAGTAAAAGTGAGTGTCCAGGGTCAAATATCGCTTGGCAAAGAAGTTATGGAAACATTATCACATTTCATTGACCCAGAATTATCAAATGGTAGAAGATCAATGATACCTCACGAAGAGAGCGAAATATCAAAGAAAATTACGTCGAAGCATTTATGTCAAGATTTAGCGATATGCCAAAGGCGTTCTTTTTTCGTTGATAACTATCTTATATTACTAACAACCGCTGTAGATAGTATTCTAAAGACATCCCCGATAAAAGAACAATCATTAAAACTGTTCAATGAAGACTTACCACAGATTTTACGAGATGTAAGAAAAATACTTAAAAGTGCTAACGCAAAAGCAAGTGATAGTACAGAATTTTATTACTGGAATAGCGTTTTAAAGAAAGTTAGCGGCAAATTTCACGGCTTCCTCGCGTTAACTTTGACTGAAAATTTTAAAGACCCTGATAAAACAAATGTCATTAAAAACATAATCCAAAAAATTGTAACAGCACTCGTTATAATAGAAACGAAATACGCAAACAAACTTTGTACAGAATACAAGATATGCATCAAATCATTTGAATGCACGAAAGCGTTGCATAGAGTTTTAGAAAAATTAACAAGCCTCGATGATAATAATATCAGATCGTTTATGAAACACTTTTACGAGGCTTTGTTCGCGACTACATTTTATTCAAGGCTAAGTATTGTGACTACCAAAGAGTTTCAAGTCATTTTAAATAATTTAGCATTCTCCAACAATGTTTCCGCTAAAGATTTATTACAATCTGTACAAAAAAGTGTTGAAATGCGTCTCGATTTGTTAACAAGTCCAAGCGATATGCAGATGGGTTACGATGTTATATTAATTCATATAATTTTGTCCGATTTGGATCATTTCTACAGCAAGAATAAGGAGTTTTCTTTTTATAATTTCATCAAATATTTTATCGAATGGAATGCTGATGGTACGCTTGGTAAGCATTTACGTAAACTAATGAACGATATTGGACACGAAGTGACAGCACAGCCACACGAATTGCCTATAAAAGTAGCTAATGAAGTTAGAGTATTTTTAGAATTGACTATAGATCCGGACGAATGATAAGTAATTGCTTGAAAAAATATTAGTTGTTTTATTTACATGCTTAATCCAATGGAATTTATTCCCTTATCAAAATTGCAATGTGTCTAACATTGTGGGTACAAACATAAACTGAGGATCTATCAGGAATTTGCGTGACAGTTATGAGAAAGAACGTCAGCGACAAAAGTGAGATTGATTGTTGTACTTTACGCCCGATAGAGGCGCTGCACAAATCTAATACTGTTGAGGTTACGAGATCTATCTCAACATTATTCATGATAACCTCTCTGTTTTGATACCGAAACTGATGCAAAACAAATTGCTTTCTGTCAGATAGTAATTGGCATAGTTTGTGATGGATGCTATAACCTCAAACTAACAAATTAAACGCTCCATCGTATAAAGGTGCTTCCGTTCTTGTATCCTTTGATCCTGACCTTGGTAATAAATAATTAATCTATCAACTATGCAATATTAATATTAATTTAGGATTCAAAATATATGTACACCAAAAATCCGAAAACTTTATGGTAAAACATACAAGGTAATCCGCACATATAGCGTTAAAAAATCACTACTTTCCAATCTTACTATCATACTTCATAATCATAATAATATTATAAATGCGAAAGTTTAGATGGATGGATGTTTGTTAGAGTTTGTAGCCTAAACGGCTTAACGGATTTCGATGAAATTTGGTATAGATGTACAGGATAGTCTGGAAGGACACATAGGCTACTCACTTTTGTTTTTTTTTTTAATTCTACGCGGACGAAGTCGAGGGCAAAGGCTAGTTTTAATAATATTTACTATTTAGTTGTAATGTATTTTGTAATGTACTATTGTTTTCATTACAACGAATACATTGGAAAAAATATTTAAACGTCTTGTATTACAATTCTGCTTATCAAATACGTAGCAAATTAATGAATTGTTCGAAGAGAAATTTCAAAACATATTTCAAAATATTTCGCATTAGTATAAAAGGAAATGGAACATGCCAGTTAAACAAACAAAACAAAATGCAATTATTAACAATTGTGATTTTTTCATTGTGTGTTTTTATGGTGAGTAAATAATTTTCGATATATTTTACGTAATATATAAGAGAGTTTTATTTATTACACTTTTTACAGAACGCAAAATGTCTACCATGCTGTGATCTATGCAAGTTGGAACCAATTGGACCAGACTTTGGCGTGTCTTGTACTCGTACAAGTTGCTGTACAAATGTTTGCACCAACGTTTGCCAATGCGGCCAATCTTGCGGTTGTAATAAAGATATCGCGTGCCCATGCGATGCTTGTCCACGTTCAACGATTAACTCATGTCCCGGACAATGCTCGTGTGACATTTATTTCCCTGAAGTCGAGTATCCTAGTTGTGGAAATAATTTAAATCCAATGTACTACGGATCATGTTGGACATATTGAAAGCAACATTAAAAAAATATAGATATTTTAAGATATATAATTTAATTTAAAAACTTTAGATTACAGTTGAAATAGGTGGGAGATAAATGCGAAGAAGTTTGCCTAAGATTGTCGATAGATGGCGCGGATTTCGAAATAATACCTATGTTAATAACCTATGTTCGAAAGAGTCCACACTTATTCTGTCTAAATAAGTAGACAGTAAAGTTGATGATGGTGATGCAAACGACTGTGATGATGATAATAATGATGATGATGAAAATGAAAAATTATTAAAATATTTGGATTTGGCTCACGAGACTACCGCCATGTGGCATATGAAATCAACTACCATTATTCCGATAGTCGTTTCGGTACACGGGCTGATAGCGAAGAGCTTCGACCAACACCTCAAGAAGCTCCCGCTAGACAGTTGGATTAAGGGCCCGATTCAAAAGGCGGTTATTTTAGAAACCGCACGAATAGTGAGGAGGTTCCTGTCTCTGCAGCCCTGACCACTGGTTGCTTGAGTCATCGGATTCCACAGCCGGTGGTGCTCTATTTTTTATATAATATATTTTATTTTATTTTTATATTCTTGTAAAATGTATTATATAGTGAATAAGAAATAAAGATATATGGAGAATAATAATGATGACAATAAACACCTATAACTTATTCTTATACGACGTAAGAAATATTTTCTTCAGTAAGAAATAAATGAACTACAGAAGAAAAGTTATTTACTCAACATTACCTATTGAATCTACTTCCAAAGTTCTAAATAACGTCACGTAAGGATAATAAAATAACAGTCGCCACTACCTACGAAGTTAAGTAATGAAGTCCCTTTTTCCTTCTAACAGCCACTTTGTTTTAGTACACAAAATGAAAAGTACGAAAAAACGCTGTTTTACAATATCTCCAGTTTTCAGGTAAAATTTTTGATATACATAAAGTTTTAATAAATTGAAGTTAACTTCTCTAACTTAGAAGGAACTTTCCTCCAATATAAATTCCGTTATTTGATTTAGAAGTTGTATTCGAAAAGGGTAAACTTGGCGTAGAACAACTTATTTCCTTCGATCCAAGTAGAAAATTTCCTATTTGCTTTGGTGCAAGTGGAAAAAAAGGAAGAAATTACTGAAGTAATAGATTTAAATGTAGGTTTCCACCGTACAAAACACTTCCTATTCTTTCTTTAAAAAATAAGACAAGAAAATGGTTTTGTCTTAGAGTTTAATGAGTGCAAACGCACTTTATATAAAAAGCCTGAATTATTTTTTTTAAACACTACACCATTTCGATTTATTCGAAAGAAAATCATGTAAATAAAAGATAACAAATGTAGATTGTTAATATAAATGGCATATAATTTCATATTGAAATTAGGACATTTTTGTATCTTTAGAAAAAAATGTAAAGGCTGTCGATGTCGGTTGTATTACAAAAGGTTCAATTTGCTATTGTGGCTCGGGGCATTTTGTACAATTTGAAACGACATATTTATTGAATTGGACTTATAAAAGTCTGTCGTTTAAATTTTATTGAAAGGATAATCGAGAAAAAATGTTACAAGCATTAAAAGCGCTCAAGTTCCGTACTTAGGACCATTAAGTGATCACTTGTAACCCCCGATTGTA